ATAGGTATACAATGGGCCAGCAAGGTGATTATGGCGGCAAAAAAGAACGCAACAGACAAGGCAGCGACGGCCCAAATGAATCTATTCAGCCGCAAGCCATTTCTAAGTCACACGTCAGCAGCCATCTTCCATACCTCCGGTGATACAAACGTTAAACGCAAAAAGAACACAACCATACAGCCCTTCAAGCTCCATACCGCGGCAGCGTAAAGGTAAAACGCAGCATACATCAATTTGGCACCACTTTCGAGTTGCGCAACTAATTCTGGAGGTAGTTGCTGTCGGGCTTCTGGAGTCAGCCCTGCCGGAGCCCCCTTCTGACCTAAGCCAAGGTCAGCGAGTCATTGTACCTTTGGGAGGAGACGACACCAGCGTACTCAGCAGCTCCAGCGCAACGAGCAGCGAGCTCAAGGCGATTGCCGCCCCAACCGCGAAGAAGTCATCCCAATACCACTGTCGAAGCTTGAATCTCACAAACCACCTCAGCAAAAGGATGAAGATGCTGATACAGTACTCGCATCTTGCTTCGATCAACAGGGTAGGAACCGCCATGGTCTCGATGGGTTCGCCGTTAGACGTTGAGTCGACGAGGAATATACTTTCTCGAGATTTCAAAGAAGAGAGGAAGAACGTACCTTGTATAGGAGGCTACCGAGTTGGTGGTAAGTAACGGTTGTCTATTCCATTGACAGTTAGAGAACGATAGACCCATGTCGGCAAGTAAGTTCCTGAGGTTCCACACACACCGGGAGCTAGACCACTCCCGCGACAAAAAGCCCTGAAACGATACCAGCCGGGCCAAGTACTGCTGCTCAGGCTTTTGCAAGGATGCTCCGACAACCAGGGGTTTAGGTCAGCAAGGATCAGTTTTCCAACGTTAGTATCGCGAGGACGAAAAGCTCTCTCAGGATCACGGCAGCCTCAAAGGTGTACTCTATAGTGTATACACGTATCAAGGCCCGACTTCGAAGTATGCTTGTGGACTTCTATTTCCTTTGAGGTCTGTCTATCTGCTGTGGGACGTAGGGCTTCCCGTAAACTCAAGGTGTGGCTCCGCCTCCTCTCTCTGCTTGCGTACCCTTCACTGATCCTTCGAAGCGGACACCGTGCCCCTCTTAAAGGTACCGTATTGTATTATGCTTAGCGTACAGAGGAAAGATCGACGGGCTCCATGCAATTAATTGTAGGCACATGGGGCCAGGTTTGTCCATATACAGCTAGGATAGCCGGCCCGATTATACTTGGTATACTCTACAATATACTCACGAAGCCCATAGAAGTACCTTAATCAGCCGGCGTTAGTTGTCATTAGGTACAGGGTGTTGTGAGTTTGGGTTTTCCTTGAAACACCGAACATTGGCAGTACGCAAGCATGATGGAGATCATCTCCAGAAATTTGACCTATTTACAAATAGCACCGGCTTCTTCATGTCCTACCCTACTAAGGGCCTTGAGTCCTTGACGGCCAAAACACGGTTGTTGTAGTCGTGCTGGCTAGCAATGGTCACACACCGCTTATTTTAGGACAATCTTCTCATCTTCCTCTTCCTCTCCTTCTTCGTCCTCCTCAGTTCGAGTTGTTGGAGTCTTTTTTTTTCCCTTGGGCTATCTGAATATAGAACATACACTATTGTCATGGCGCACGCACTGGTCTTCGGCGCCTCGGGCATCCTTGGTTGGGCTGTTGTTGACCAGATCTTGAAGAGCTACCCCCAGAAAGGTGTATTTTCCAAAGTGACTGCTCTGACACATCGTCCATTGAGTTTACAGGATTCCCAATGGCCGAAGCCTGGAGGTACCAACCCAGAGCTCGCTTTAGTGTCGGGTATCGACTTGACCCAGGGGACTGTAGAGGACATCAAGCAGCAGCTAAGGGAACGAGTCCCGGACATTGGCACTGTCACTCAGATCTTCTACTTCGGTAAGAACTTCCCAGGGGGTTTGAAAAAGTCATAGCAGAGCTCATCTAGCCGGTCAGCATATATTTTCAATCCAGATTTTCCAACCGAGCAAGAAATCAACGTGGCCATGTTCGATCGCGGATTCGTCGCAGCCGAGGCTGTCACACCGAACCTCTCCTATGTGATTCTGCCGACAGGTACCAAGGTGAGCAAGTTACAGAGTAAGATACGGACGGATAGAATGCTTAGTTCCACAAGGGCTACGGCATCCACCAGCCTCAAAGGCCGTTCAAGGCCCCGTTCAACGAGCCTATGAACGAGATCCCGCAGCCTTATAGGGATGAGCTGTTCTATTTCGCTCTCCGGGACCGTTTGAATGTCCTCCAGAAGGGGAAGAGATGGAACTGGGCAGAAGTCAGGTGCGACATCGTGGTGAGTGACAATTTAGCTCGTTCCCTTCGTCCAAGGATGCTCAACTCTCCCTTCCCAGGTTGGTTTCTTACCCCACAGTAACCCTTACAATCTCGCCGGGTTCTTCATCAACTACCTTTCTCTGGTTGCATTCGTCAAAGGAAGGGGCACAAAGGTGCCGTACCCCGGACACCCTGACGGCTGGAATACTCTCTCGAACGATGGCGGTCAAGACATCTTTGCGAGATTTTCACTTTACCTGTCACTGAACCCCGACAAGGCTGGGGCCTCGGAGCTCTACAACATTGCCGACACTTCAGATGGACACCCCATGTCTGCAAAATGGCCCGCGATATGCGAATATTTTGGCTTGGTCGGTGTTCCGCCGCTGCCTCTGGGAGATCCGGCGTATGTCAGCCCCGCTCAATTCCTCGAACAGCACAAGGAGGAGCGCAGGCAGATGGAAAACCAATTGGGGAGTAAGATCCAGCAGGTCGATCTGATGACTGGCCTCGATGTCTGGCTGATGAACTTTGACTTCGATCACCATCTGGCCCTCGATAGAGCAAGGTCGACTGGTTTTGTTGAGGAAGGCACGCCCACACGCAGCTGGCTCCAGACCTTTGATCGCTATCGTGCCGCGAAGAAGGTTTGGCTGGCATCATGAAACGCGCCCGGCGGGCTCATGGGAGCAAACAACGCAACAAATTATGATGTGTCATGGATATAGAGAAATCATCCTACTTAAAGTCCACATTGTTTTTAACTGCAAATTATGCCTTTTCGGCGTAGCAAACTGTTTGCAAAACATGCAACAAAGTTAAGGAACTATTAATCGCTTTTGTCGACGGTGGCAACGAACAAGGCTTGAAGGCCAACTACGAAGCCTATGGGAGAGGGAGCATCTGCCTGAAAAACCAGGCCTCTATAAACTTGGTCCAATGGGCCTTTGAAAGAACAGAAACGCTGTATAACACCCAGAAGGAGGTAGTCGATAATCGACTCGAACATTACCCGGTTAGTTCGCAGCTGTCTATCTGCTAAGACGACCTTCTAACATTCGTAAATACGAATAGTCCAATCAACTACTTAGTAAGTATTTCTTTCTAGAGATAAACTATCGTCAAGGGACTGTCTAAAGAGGTTAAAGGCGAAGGGATTGCAATATCTCTTCAAATGCTTAATAATATCTTTGGAAAATGAACCCTTTCACAAGGGAATACTACTACGACTCGTAGTCTCGCTCGTGGCAGATCAGCTCCATTTAAAAAAATTTCCCATTGTGTCGTTCGCTTGTACTCCGGCGTCCACTCGGACATGTGTAAGCTTCTGAATGTCCAAACTTTCATCGGAGGCAGAATTATTGAACTGGTTCTTTCATCTCGGAATGATATGACATTCTCATAGAGCTCTCATCTTAGTAATGTTTCCAACAGCCTACGAGGATGTAAAACCGTCGACGATATTAAACCTGGTGCACTCAGGGCTTGTCCGTGACTCAGACACTCACGTCTGTTCAGTGTAATTGGGACTTCATTACACACTTTGTCACTCGCACTGCGCGCCTAGTAACACTTCAACCTGATAACAGGAGTAGATGAGAAAGCACCAGGTGCACTCAGGCCGTGTCTGTAACTGGACAGTAACAACCTCAAACTCAGAGGTACTCCTTGCACTCTTGCGCAGTAGCGCTAACAAAACTTCAGGAAAGGCAGAGGCGAGTGGCTCGAGCCACACCTCTAGTCATCATCAGCCCTGCTTTTCTCTCTACAATACCTCTATCACGGCTTACATTGAGACGCTCGCAACGCTTCTATGATTTCTATTGACGTCCGCTTCCATTCGTAACCTTTCGTTAGACATTCGCCGCTTGGTTGCCCTTACCACAGAACTGTATTACGCACTTATTGTTAAAGATGACAGCGCTCTTGTTAATTAACAAAAACTCTTCTCATTGCATGTCAATCTACTTTCATATTATAGAGAGAAAGTGATTAGTTAATAAATGCGCTGAGGGTTATCTCTGGGAGCCCAGAAGAAACATGTAAATAGTGTAGAGAGGGAATGCAGGGGGTTTTGCCAAGGGTGCTACGATTAATTAATGACTACGCTGAGTATTTAGACAGGCGTTTAATAAATTAAGTTTTGTGAAAATGATAGAGCCTAGCGATACCTCCTCGAAGAACGCTTTTGAAAAAGATCATTTGATATTCTTCTTCCTGTTGAAAAACGATCAATCATCCCATCAAAATCCGGAAATTCTAATATTAGGATCGTAAACGATTTCATTGATACGCAACGATACTTGGCAGTTAATGGAGCTGCCAATTTGGATTTTTGACCCAATCCCTCATGACTGAGTTTATTTGATGGTATTAACGCGATACTAAATTTACCGAGTTGGGAAAGTCCAAACCGTGATTCGAATACCTGCCGTACACATGAAGTCCCCCCACTACTCTTAAAAGTACTGACCTTTCCCTTAGGTGTATAATACGTAAGAATCAGTATTCAGGACACGAGTCTGTAGCTACAGCCTCATCCCACGCTGAGGTTGGAAAGTAGCCGACTGATAATGTCGAACCCTGTTAAAAGAAACCTTGTCTGACACTGCACTAGTAGACGAAGCAGTTCCAAGACCTCCAGGAGGTCGTCAGAAATGCCCATCCATGTCCATCATTTCAGCTGAATCCATGTGGGCTTACTTACCTGATATAGTACCCCTGAACGATGCGTCGACGTGTCCAAAAGTTGTTTACACTTGTACAAATGCTTCGGAGAACTTGTGGTGATTAATCAGGTATCAAACGATATGTACCCAGATTCACTGACATACGACCATTTGGTCAGTATTCTCTCGAAGCGCTCTATTCAGAGAGTTGGAAAAACGAAAACTGCAAAGCTCCTAGCTACTAGTACTACTATAAACTAAATTCGTGTCGGGTCATGACATGACTTGGACTGGCTTACTTTGCCAGAGTCTCTATAAGTCTCATTTCAATCCTCTTCTTCTTCATCGGTCCCAGATTCTCGATCGTCAATTTCTTGATTGTTTCCCATCTGTACTGGATCCGCTGGGCCCGCAACTGCAATTCCATTCTGCTGCTGCGGGCGCGGTTGAGGATTGGCCAGGGGACGAGGTGGTGCTTGGGCAACCGCCGGTCCAGCCGCGTTGTTACCATTGTGATGTACTCGAACGTCTGGCAACGCGATTGCTGCTAGCGAACCTGGCCTGTACTGATCTCGCAGTCGCTGTATCCTGCGTATCAAATCTCGGGCCAGGAGGCCCATATCTTCCAACTCTTGAAATTCATTCAAGTGGGGTGGTAAGATGTGCCGATGATGGTGATGATGATGGTGATGGTGTTGAGCATGAAGGGTACCCATGGGTATGCCAGTGGGCATGGGTAGAGAAGTCAGCAGAGCTTGCATTGAAGCCGGCCGGTTTGCAGCAGGTGGAGGGTTCTGCTGATTGCTCGCCGACGGCCGACTCTCTCCAGGAGGAGGTTGAGGAGAGTTTGTACGGTTGGGGGTGGTATGTAAGCTGGTAAAGAAATCGACGAGACCATCGATTGCTTCCTCGGTGGATGCGAGTGAGGTGGGGCCACCGAGTCGCCGTTCCTCAACAGGTTTGCGTATTCTATCTCTCCTCTTTTTCATTTTCCTCGACGAAGACTGTGCAATCAGGAAGGCTTCGGATCTCCTCTTACACTTTCCGGATTCCATTCTTCCCCAGCGGCAGTTTGGGCAAAAGAACAAGGGTGCAGGATCGGGTGATGAGACTTGTTCTTCGGTCTGGTGAGCTCTGCAGCCTTTGCAAGGACATGGAGGCTCCAAAGTGCTAACACAGTCGCCGCAAATATTGACTCTGCACTCGAAGCACTGTTTCATGATGGCTGGACAACGACGTCTGTGATCACCAGGCGCGCGTGTTGCCGGACAGAAAAAGGCCTGGCAACCTTGCCACAGCGGTAATGCCGACGCTTCATCTTCCCCCGAATGAAGTGGATTGGCAGACGGCTCGGGTGTTGCAGGGGTTGAGTGGAATGAAGGTGTTGGCGATGTGGATCGCGACAATGGTCCGGTGCTGGTCGACGCTGGCGACAATGGTCGATGTGTTGGGTCAAGCTCAGCTAATGGGGCTCTGTGAGCGCGCAAAGTTTGTTCAAGTCCGACAACTGGTGTGTCGACAGCCTCCTCTCTTTCGGTCCCATAAGTCAAGCTCTCGGACGTTGACGGTCGCTGCGGAGTAGGTGTCAATCGACTGGATGACGGACCCTTCAGACTTGAGCTCGCCTGGTCCTGTTCTGTTGCTGGCTTCTCTGCTGCTAGTCTTTCCTTTCGATGTCGTACTAGAGTGGCCAACAGTTTCAATGCCTTTTGTCGAGACTTGAAATCCTGCCGCTCAACAACGACATCTCTGTAACCACAAATCCTTGTCTTCATTCGATCGCCGATGTCGTGCTTCAGACATAATGCCGTTGCACAGGCCTTGCATTTCAGTCTCCAGTGCTCTGCACTGTAACACTCATCGCATAGAACCCTAGGTATCGAAAACGAGGGGGGTTCATTGGAGCCTAGAGCTTCGGCTGTCTTGAAGAAGCTGTCGATCGATGGCCATCGACCACCGGGACCTTGTTGCACTAATTCGTCTTCAACATCCGGCCGCTCGGGACCAAATTCTGGGTCTTCCCAACCCTTACCTATGGGTAGAGGCGCTGCTCGAATTTTGTCCGTTTCTCGACTGTTGGTATTACCGAAGGTGATACCTCCTCCACCAGAGAAGACGGGCTCGGTGCAGCACCATCTGAATTTTATGTTTGGCAGCATATTTGGATCAGCATTTTGAGCCCCAATGGCTGCATTGGCAGGTTGGTCCTGGTCCTGCATCGTGCAAGGGGACACAGCATAGCCTGGTGCCCACCAGTACTTGTTCCGTTCCTCCTCTGGTGCGTTTTTATTCCGTAGATACGGTCGGTCGAATGCACAGCTTGCACAGAGTGTTTTCCTGCATCCTGTGCAGTGCATCATGACGGAGCATTGCTCGCATCTTTCTAGAATTTCAACAGAGCAGTTATGACATACAATGTCTTCAACAAAGGCTTTGTGGGTTTGGCGTAGATGTGCTGGAGTCGCTTTCCCTTCTCTGTTGACTCCAATGGCCTCGCCATTGACACCTTCCTCATCGAACTCCCAACTTCGGCCATCCATCCGCCGTTTCTTTGGCTGAGCTGAGCCAGTAGATCTTGATGAATCAATCGGACCCAACCAATTTCGACTCCTCCACAAACGATCATAGACCACCCAAACTTCTCTCGTGCCTTGGGGCATTCGCATCTTTACATAGCCTCTGCGGCGGAAACAGCGAGCTCCTGGTGTTGTGCACCATGCAGTATCGGTCCAAATTCCCAGCTTGTGGCAGGTATTAACCAATTCATGGGTAGGTTCACTGTCGCTTTCCTTCCGTGATAGACTGCTTGGCAGGTATGGTCTGCGTCTATGATGGCGGCAACGATAGGTGTACAAACTCTCTAGAGCAAGGGTTTCAAACCCGGTTGGACCTCGGGCAGACTGAGACTCTCGCGCCAGGGCGTGCATCTGCAGCCAGGGATTGATATGATATTTCAACGACACATTCTTGCATCCACGGACGGACACATGTCTCAGGGTATCCCTTCTCAGAATCAAAACGGTCGACGTGAGTGTGGCTCCGCTAACCGCGGTATTGTCCAATTCGAGGCTAACTAGTCTCGTACTGAATGGATTGATAATGTTCAGGAGAATTTGGTCGAGGGCGTAGTTACTCGATTGGCGTGGTCCAATAGCACCGTTCGCAGGGGCGATAGCATTTGAGATCGTAGGCTGGTACAAACGCCATGATATGTAGCGCCACGACGTAGGAGATTTCGTGAGGAAGTCTCGAAGGCAATACGACGTCTGGTAGAGACGAAAGATCGTATCCGTAGGTACTTGAGCAAGGAGAGACTGGAGAATCGGTGGATTACAAGTAATCAGGAGCTCGAAGGACGAAGGGCGTGACCGAGGAGGCACCTCTTCGGAGTCCATTCTGAGAGATGCCATCTATCTTGTCCGCTAGGACGTGGAAAGACTCAATGGACGATGGCTCATTTTCCGGCCACAGGATTCCGAGATCTAACTGAGTCAAGACATCACGCCGACTCGAGTAGTGAGTGATCGAGAAGGTAGCGGTGAGATCGTTTTCAAAGAGGCGTTTGTGCAGGGATGTCGACATGCAATCAACGAGAGACACAAGTCGGGCATTGATTCGTGAAGGGCGCAGGCAAACGGTCACGTGAAATGGGGATTGGCGGCAGCCTTGTGAGGGAGTGGACTCCAGATGGACTCCAGACAAAGTACGAATCTATCTCGGACGACGATTTGTGTACTCTTGCTTTCTATTAGCGGCCCTGGCGATATTTGCGCTACTTGGTCGAGAGAATTCTTTGAATGCATTCCTGAGGCAGACTCGTGACGCTGGGGCGGCTACCGAGCAACGGTAGTGACAACTCTCACTACAAATTCATCCTCACTACAGTGGCTGGATATTCCAGTAGTTTCCTGACTCTTATATCTTCGTCATGCATCAGGTAGCCCACGATTGACCTACATTCACTGCTGCTCCTCCGACTAATCCACCACTGCTGAATTCTCGTCATCATGGCAAGCCAATAAGCCAGGATGAGCAATGCTCGTTTCTCAAGCTGTAGAACGAGCGTCTGAAATCTATCGTCCGCTTTCCCTACAAACGTAATCAACTTGGCAAAGTTGTTCGCGCAAGGTTCCAAGTGACGGTAGAAGAACAGATGTTCGAGGGGAGTGTAGAAAGGGTTGGCTTCTGGTGATGATCGCTCCGTGATCCCACAAAGCTCTAGAAACAACGTGCATGTCTCGTCCTGACAAAGGTGATCCCACAATGGGAGTACGACGTAGTCTGCATCTTTCATCACTGGTGTCCATATTGATTGCCACATGAGATCTCCCAGGCGTTGGTGCACCGCTTGAAAGCCTTTGGCCATTCCAAGCCATTGAAGGCACTCACGCCTTCGCTCAAGAGGTGCATTGACAAAACTTTTGTATGTGTGCGGTCCTGGATCATTCAACATATACTGATGAACACATATGAGCATCATAGTAGATATGAGGGCGTCGATAGAATGATCCACGGCGTCAGATTCCAGGTCAATGCGGAAGAGCCGCAATGCCTCCTTCCAGTGATAGGCAGCTGTTAGTCGATTCTGTCGATACTGTTTGGGATGTTGATTCGCTGGGAGGAGATGGCAAAGGTGTGCCGCGGATACTCCATTGATCGCATGAAGCAACGAAGGATTTTGCACCACAAGATTATGCATACAGATTTTGATAACTTGGTGTGCCAGATGCGATCCCAGTGAGCAATACGTCACAGTGTCGAAATGATGTAGCGTTTGCAATATCGGGGTCATCTGATCCAGTTGGCGTACCGTAGATGGGATCGGTAGAACTGGGGTGATATTCAGACGCCTCAGTGATGACATGCATGTCATCCTGGTCAGAGCCGCCAAATCGGAGGCTTCTGTAGCGGCAGCAGTCAGATCCTCATACCCGCTCTTGGGCAGAACTCTTCTCTCAGTGATGGGAAGTTTCGCGTCAAGATAGTCACACTCGAGGCCGTGGCTCTGGCATTTCAGGCAGCCGCCTACCCTATTCTCGTCGCACTGAGATGTTATCAAAGCACCGTCAGATCGAGTGTGGATGAGAGATCACTCACCTTGATTCGCCGTTGCTTGCATGTTTTGCAGCCTGCTCTAGACTTTGTATGAGACTTTCGTGCATGGACGGTTGTCCTTCGAGGTTTTGGAGCTTGCAGACCTCTAATCCGTGCGTGATTGGATACTTGAAAGACTCCTTGCATGAGCCTTTGCGCTTCACTGGCTCCGTGCCGCGTTTTGTCAGTCATCGTTGCTCCTACCATTTCTGGCGCAGTCCGTTTCGGTCACCCAGGCTCACCACCAGTCGATATGTGGCCAGCGATGAAGAAGTGGTGACAGACGGTGTGGTTGAATACGATATGTACCCGTTTCGAGATTAGGCTCCAACATCCATTGAAGTACCGAGAGTCGGCTCTTGGGTGTCAAGGTCGTGAGGATGCCAATAATGGGGTTTTTTGAAGACGCCTCGATTCCGCAAATGGAAGTATGTCGTATTCCAGGCCAATCACATCCCAGCAGACTGAAACTCTGTTAGATTGATCTTGCAAACCGCGACGAGGTTATTATCGGACTGATCATGTATCGGTCATAAGAAAACATGTTACTTATATACGAGATACACGATTAGGACTAGGCTGTGTCTACACATCGAACCTCTCACTCCTCGTAGACCACGTTTTGCTGGCTCAACGCGTCACCAAGATCATTGCTAATAAACATCATCCAAGACAACAGCCATCACTTGCCCGTTGGAATGCGCCATGAAAAAATTCCTGCATAGCCGTATAATGGAACAGAATTCCTGCAAGAACGGCAAGGTGCCAGATGTTATGGCTGCCACCAGCATAGTCAAATAGACCAGGCCACCATTTCTCAGGAACCTTGCTGGCATATATGATGGCTCCGGTCAAGTAGACCATTACACTCTTCGTCACCGGAGCATAGAAATAGAATGTCCAAGCAACTCCCCTCGTATAGTTCAGTTGTATGACCGGTGCAAACCCTGTAATGGCCATTGTGACGAAGAAAGATACTCGAGCCCATGCCATATCGGCACGGTTGAAGCTTTCTCGCCAGGGTAGAATAACTCCGGCAATTCCAAGCAGAGTCGTCATCGTCATGTAAACCGAACGGGAAAGCGGTTCGCAATAAAACGCCGTCCATTCTGTACTGAGAATACTGGCTGCCACTAAGAATGAGATACCGGTATAGTCGACACAGGCAAACCGATCTAGCAGGCACTTATCCGCAATGCTGTTCATGGTGTGCCACATAATTGAGCAAATGAGGCATTTGCAAGCCGCGACAAAGAAGCAAGCTGCAATCAAAACGTCCCAATTGCTGGACAAGGGGAACGTCGACGAGGCGGGATAGTAGTAGAAAGCCACCGCAAGCACGATGATCAAGCCTATGCCATGAGACCAGATGTTGACGGTCTCGTTCGAAGGTCGGAATGCTGAGGCAACACATTCAATCTTGGTCCGGTTGAAGCGATAACCACGAAGAATATGAGGGTTATTTCGCCACGGCGCAGGAAGGTCGTCGTAATGAATCAGCCTGGACTCCCCAGCACGGCTTAGAGCATGAGAAATTGACTCGGCAAGCAGGTCGGTCGCCCGAATAGCCTTGTCGAAGCCGTCCTCGAGGATCTCGCGTGTCGCAGTTATAGAGTCATCGACTTTTTTCCAGCCAGAATCTATCAATTGTTTCCTTCTCGAGTGTGCTCTGGTCTCCAATTCGGAGAGATAGCATTCCATTAATCGTAGACTTGCTTGTGCTTTTTGCTCGAAGGTCTCACGAGAAGGCATCAGGTCGTTATATCGACTCTCTAGAGTTTCCACTAGTATATTTGCCCGCTGCCGCGCTGCACCCCATAATAGCTCTCCAGAGTGGTACGGTGAACAGGAATCCCGCACATCTCTCAAGATCTGGTAGGCTCGCTCAAGTTGTGTATCCAGACTCAGGATACTCTCCTGCCGATATTTTTCCAACCTGTCGACTCGGTGTCTGAGCTCCGTGAGGAACAAATCGACTCTTACAAATATGGCATCGGCATTACAAATACTCGAATTGCGTCGTCTCGAAGTGTTGTAGGAATGTCGCCGACCTCTAAGGACCAAGGGAGTCCGTTCATCGTCTCTTGAGGAGCTGGAGGCACGACTTGTGGAGGAGGATTCAATCGTGACCGCTGACGCTGTGCAGGTCATACTGCCTTGAAAACGGTCATGCGGCAGAATGGACGAAAGATGCCAACAGACAGAAAGGCGAGGGAAGTCGGGCAGAAGATCGCTTTGGCGTCCACAGAGACCGGCAGGAGGTCGCTTGAGGTTGGTACGGTGGCTATGTGAGCTTTTACCCAAGGGAAATTGGATATGACGAGAGAATATTGCAATCTGCGCAAGACTGAGCCGGAAACAACAGGACTGTGAAGACTGTAAGGACTGGACCAAGAGAACGACTGAGTGATAGGTGAGGCTCTACATAGGTTCATCGGACGTCAAGAGAAGGAAGTGGCGCAGTTGACAGGATATGATGGAGTTGAAGGCGAGATGTGCAGTGAAGGAAGAACAACGAAGCAGCGCTAAAGGCGCAGCCCGGCATTGGGTGGGGGAGAAAATAACAACGTCATTTCAGCCAATTTCCCTTTGCGTTGGTGGCGGGTGGCTGAAAAGGCCCTTTGTATGACATTTTGATATGACACGACAGCCAAGTCCGTGGAGTCCCAGAGCCGTCAATCTTCGGGATCTCTCGTTCAAGTGTCAGAGTGTAACTGTTCTATGGGCACGTACTCGTACCTGTCTCTATCATTCGCCATCTGAAGCAATCGAAACTATGGATCAGTTCCCATGTTTGCCAATCCCATCAACATCTCACTGGGCCATAGATCAAAAGACCTACAAATCGTCCGAACGACATCCGTTCAAGCAACTTGTTCCAGTAGACTTTCAAGCCAACGACTCGTGTCCTTCAGATGCATTGCACTTCGCTGTCGGGGTTTCGTCGATCCCAAGATAGGACACTTTTGGTCTATTACAACTTCGTCTGGCCAGATCCAATCAAGTGCGATTTGGTTATACATCACCCAAGATCAGGAGGGTGCTTGATACACTGGACATCTTGTCATTGATCATCCTAGCTGCCGAGTCACGTTGGGTATTCCTTTCTCCGAAAACGACCTTGAAGCCAGCAGCGGAACATCTTAATCCTTCGCTGCCGGTTGACGATGAGTCTCCTGTCGATGTCGAGATTCAAGACATCGAATGCGTCGCCCCAGATCTTCTCGATTTCTTCCTTCTCGAAGAAATATACTCGAGTGCCATCTCCACGGACATAGAAATTCTCTCCCATCCATCGTCCAGCCTTGAACCTGACTTGAGCAAGATCACCCCTACCATAGTCCCGAAAGAGAACTTCACCACCCGGTTTTAATATTCGCTCGATATTCCTCACAGCCTGCTGCCATTGCTTAGGGTTCAGGGCAGAGAATATAAAGATCATGATGACAATATCAACGCTGCCTTCGTCAATGCCGGGGGGAAGATGTTCGCCCGCCGCATCCCAAACATCAGCTGCCATAACGCCGTCACAATTCTTGTAGTCATCTGCATCTCTCATTGTCTCCACTGCTTTCTTGCTGAAATCGACGGCAAAGATCTTCAGGTCGGGGTTCTCATTCATTCTCAATATAGGAAATGCGGTGTTACCTGCACCAGCACCAACCTCGAGGACGATTTTCTTTCCAGCTTCTTTTCTGGTAATGTCGCTGAGAACCGGAAATTCCTGAGCCAGCCACTTCCTGTCTTTGAAGAATGTGTTTGTCTTTTGTTTGTAGAAATCATTCCACCATTTTTCTGGGTTCTCATTCAATCGAGCACGATCAAAGTCAGAGACTGGAGCGGCTCGTTGGGCCGCATATTGAGATTCGCAATATTCATAATATTCCTCATCGGGGACTACATGATCCCAGGCATTGTATTCGAAGACGTCTGCGGACTCTGATAAGTAGCGCTGGCCGAACTGGAATGGATCTGTCCGCTTTGCGCTCGTAGCAGGATCGTGGGAAAGATGTGGAGGGATCGTTGAGTCTTCCTTGCAGGCACCGAGGCTTGTGTTGGACCTCGATTCTGTGGAAATCGTCTCGGCACTCAGCAAAGCATTATTCGCATGAGTTTCTCCGCTATCAGCGCCCACAATAGTTTCCATGCCTCTGTCTGGCGCCATGGCGAAAGTTGAAGTATCTGCGTGGGAGCGACGACCACTTGATGGGAAATATTTATGGTGCGGAGAATCTTGGTCTCCGATTGGTGGGTGTTTTCACGTCCACGCATTCCGCAACTTGTTCTCCTCGCTGTCCTTCTCAACTCTCCTCTCCTGCTATGACCAGAGATGCGCCTCTATCAAGTTCTTCATCCTCTAGGCAGTCTCTACAGCCATGACTATTGAGGAATTAGTTACAGACCCTACGCTGCAGCCGCTGCTGGAGACATCGCGTACGACTCTCGCTCAGGTCCTTACTGCGCTATCATGGCTCGAAGCAAACTCTACCGCTGACATTCCAACTTCGGAACAGAAGCTGGATCTTGCGGAGCAACAGAAGATCCTGTATGCCCATGTGGCCAAACTTCGTGGTCAACATCGCCAGGCTGCCTTTGGGGCGAGAGCGACGAAACAAGACACTGCAGAAGCGAGACAGGAAGTAGATCGACTTCTGCTTCAGCTTCAGAACTTGTACTACGAGCAGCGACATCTGATGGGTGAGATCGGTGCCTGCGAAGGATATGAGTATGTTAAGACCCTGTTCTATCCATCTCTCCACTAATAGTATCTACCAGTCATGCGTATACACATCTGCCACTCCTTTCACTTGATGAATATCTGGCGCAGTTTCCTGAACAAGCAGGACTCCCGGAACAGGAGCTGATGCCCCTTCGAATCGAGCATGAGAAGCAGGAACGCGAAAAGATGGAGCAAGAGCGATTGGAACTCGTAAAGATCAAAGATGCATTGGTCAAAGAAAATACAAGGAAAAAGGATGAGCTCAAGAAGATGGATGACAAGCTTGAGGCCATGATTGATGGCTTCAACGCGTTACAGGAAGGTCTAAAGAAGGAGCTATGAAACCCTCACCGATCATCTTGTCGTTCTATATTGCTTCGTGGATGTAATTGCTATACGGAGTCAGACCGGCTTCCGCATCGATGGGATCCTCAGCGGAAAAAGGTCGTTGTCAATGCCCTCGATGCCCACGATGATATCTGACATACGCGACGGCAATCATAAGAAGAGTCATTGTAATTGGCAACTACCTGGCATTACCCCAACATCAGCTTATACTGTGGCGCTATGGCATTTCGAGGAAATCAACTTCAAGATGAAGTGGAATTCACCTACGCGCAACGGCACACATGCAAGAAAACTGAGACAACTTTATCGATTGGATCTACGCCACCACCAACCTTCTACCTAGCCATCCATCGATATATCATAAAGACTTCTCACCTGATGGCGACAAAAAGGCTTGATACCTTCTGACAACCTAGCCGTATGGAAACAACGGATCGGGAGGCACCGCGTCATTCTCTACTCTTTCCTTCGCAACAGAAATGCGTTACATCAAACCTCAAAAACCATTCCAGAGATCGAAGCATATGTCCCAAGCTTGGAGCAAATTCCTTTTGCCCAGCTGTGCTGCTCCTCCGTCGCAAAATATCTGCGGGGAGTTGTCGTGCGCTCCACGAAATCGCCGGATTCACCTAAGACTCTCTAGCCTGCCTACAGCTCTCACCAGAGTCAATCAATGACAACCAGGCCAAGAACATTGCTGAGATGACATGAACAAAATAAGGAGCACTCTTCTGACAATTCTACATCTGCTGCCCAGGTAAAACAGACCAGTCAGCGGAGCAAGATCATGCCACTTGCATATTTGTAGCAAGGAGATGGGTACATCTTTTCCTGATTTGGTTTATGGACTCGGAGCGATTCCAACTTTGACGACAAGCATTTTGATCAAAATGTTTGGAAATCAATTAGAACGATCGGCTACACCGAAGAGCAGCCAGGCGCATAGTTGGGAGAGTAAAGAAAGCGAGGACATCAAGCGGCCGTGAAAGGAATAAAAATACGTTGCACAAAAATTGGAGAAGTGACAGCTTTGCCAAACCCACCGGCATTCGAGTTGGATTGGGTCAAGGCATGGCTTGACAACCAGCATTAAACGAGTGCAGGCGGGTCGTCGACAAAGACTCGAACTCTACAACGGTCGAAGCTCGAGAAGGAGGTATGGTACATTGTTCTGGGACGATTAAGGAGGGTGCATATTGTCATCGGTGAAAGACAGTTGAAAGTACTCTAGACAACAGACAACAATAAAGGTGGTCTTCCTCTGTCTCGCACTTCAACAAGGTCTCCTCATATTATCTTCGCCGCTCCGTGTGGAGACTGTGCTCGGAAATTTATGGAGAACTATCCCCTGGCACCATGATCGGAAAATTCGGAAAATTGACTATCGTCTCCCTGCGGCTACGGCAATTAGCTACGTAGCGAACCAATCTTGTAAAAAACAAGTCGATGTATTGCCCGTGATTACATTTCCCTCACAGCCCAGGGCTGGACGAGCACATCGGCAGAGCAGAGAAAGAACCTGCAACATCCAACTGGTAGTCCTTGCTTCAACAACAGTAACATCATGGCTTCCTGGGTGCCAATTGAGCAGCATTCGGATTTCTCGCTGCAGAACCTTCCTTTTGGCGTCTTCAGCACTCAGAGTCTGGATCAGCGGATAGGTGTCGCGGTGGGCAATCATGTCCTTGATATGAAAGCCCTTGCGCACAACGACGTCTTTGTTGGCCTTGACTTTGACACGGCGACTCTTCAGAAGTCGACCTTGAACCAATACGCAGCTTTAGGGAGAGACATCCATCGCAGCGTTCGAACATTTTTACAAAATCTACTCAGTGACAAAACGCCTCATGCCGCCCTGTTGCGTGACGACGACAGACTAAGATCCGCCGCTCTGATCTCTATGAGGGATGTCAAGATGCACCTGCCCATGGCTGTCGGTGACTATACGGATTTCTTTGTCGTGCCGTATCATGCTCAGAACGTTGGTCAAAAATTCCCAAACCCAGAATCGTTAGGGAACACGAACTGACCTTGTTACCTACTATTCAGTGTACTGACATTTTCCGACCAGGCCAGACCCTGCCGGCCGCATTTTTTGAGCAGCCTCTGGGCTACCATGGACGGGCTTCATCAGTAGTAGTCTCTGGAACACCGGTACGACGACCGAGAGGGCAGTTTGTTGGACAAGATGGCAAGGCAACATTCGGACCTAGCCAGAAGCTTGACTATGAAGTCGAGTTTGCTGCCTTTGTGACCCATGGACAGCAGAAAATGGGCGAGTCCATCGAGGTCAATGACGGAGAAGACTTGATTTTCGGATTCGTCCTCTTGAACGACTGGTCGGCAAGGGATATTCAGCGAAGGGAGACCGCACCTCTTGGGCCTTTCAATGGAAAGAACTTTTGCACGACTATATCTCCTTGGATTGTTTCTCCAGACGCTTTGGAACCGTATCGAACAGCACCTCTACGCTCGGTAGGTTGCTTTTTGTTTTAAAGAACAAGACTTGGTGGCAAGACAAGTCCTAACGTGATGTGTCGCCAGGGCCCTTGGCTTCCTTATCTCAATGGCGGCAGAGAGGATTCTGTCTATGATATTCTGATTCAAGTCCAAATCCAGTGTGAGTAATAGTCCTCAAATGAGGAGATATATGCGCTATGATATTTATTAAGTGGTTGCTAGCGAAATCTGGCACGTTCGACGTCTCGAGATGCAACACCAAAAATGTGGTATTTTCATTCCCTCAAATGCTGGCACACCACACCGCAGGGGGCTGTCCCATGCGGACAGGAGACCTCATTGCGACGGGCACTCTGTCTGGAGCCACGCCTCAGGAATACGGCTGCCTTTTGGAGGTGACATGTGATGGTGCCAATCAGCTGAAGGTATCCAACGCCCAGAACCAAGAAATGTGTCGGACTTTCCTGGACGACGGGGACAGTGTCATTTTCACTACGTATCTGCCTCGCAAAGACGGTATCGGCGGCGTGGGATTCGGGATGTGCGAAGGACAAATTCTTGCTTGTCTTTGAGCACAAGGGGGCAATTAGGAGAGCATGTGTGAATCGTGACTGTTCACGTTTTTCTCCCATATACGTCTGAACAAAAACATCCTAAAGGCTACAGCTAGCCCTTTAGATATTACCCTTAGGCCGCTCATGTCTCTTCATCCATGTTTCCACCTCATCCTGTTTTTTTCGTCCTCTTCAGGAGTATTGTACCTTCCATCATCTCAACTGCCGGTTTCTGGTGGCTCTTCAGCTAATATCTTTTCCTCTCATGAAGTCTCCGACTTTTGAGATTGGCCTGGTCTCGCGAGACCTTTGAGTATAAACCCCTTGGTAGTAGATGGAAACATACTAGGTATTGTTTCTGAAATAGAATGGGTTCACGTGAGCTGAATATTCCGGACACCATTTCTTCACCGACACTGAGCCTTGTGGTAGACTATTGACTTTGGCCGGATCATTCCCCGAAAGAGGGGGAACCCTCTGGCCCACTCGATCGATACCAGATCCATTGTTGAACGGCGATCCCACTGAACGAGCCTTCTATATATATTACTATAGGGGAGGAGGTGGTGTAGGTCACAAAGTCAGCGCAATCTGGAGACGACGTCTCAACCACTGTTGCATCCAACCCGGGCTCTGGGGCATCATAGTCTGATTTACATTGCGAGCTCTTGGACGCAGACTAGCCCACGAACAATGGCCTCCTCTACCGAATCGCCGTCGAACCTACCAATAGTCCATCGACATATTACTACTCACGACGATGCGGGCAAAGCCATCGTCTATTCGTCGGAGGCTGGACAATGGCAAGCGATGCGTAACAATACGGTGGCTTTGGACCTGGTGTATACCACTTCAACATTTCCTGCCCAATTGAACGGCGAGGTCGATATCAAGGCCCACGAAGCTAGGGTGGAGGGAGGCGGTACTGGATTGGTTGTTCCAGGTGGAAGTGTGTGTCGACTCGTGGACTTCGGACCTGATAACAACCCGATGATGCACCGCACGAAGAGCCTCGACTACGGAGTGGTGTTGGAAGGGGAGGTCGAAATGATTCTGGATTCCGGGGAAGTGCGCAAGATGAAAAGGGGCGATATTGCCATCCAGCGGGGTACTATGCACGCCTGGAAGAACCCCAGCAAGACGGAATGGGCGAGGATGATGTTTGTGCTGCTAGACTGTGAGCCCGTGCAGGTTGGAGGGGCAGTGTTCCAAGAAAAGTTGGCTGCAGAGCAACACGAGATTCCGGCCAGTGGGAAATAATACCTAGAGGAAGTCGCCATCAAGAGTTCTAGATGAATGTGCCTGGATGGATGGAGTTTGATACACGACTCACGTTTTGACGAACTGTGCAGGCCTTGCCGTCGAAAATACCCCGTGCACGTGAACGGTTTATAGTGGTGCAAAAGCATCGCTAATGTCCACCTTTGCCAGGCTCGTGACAATCCGACCGGACTCCTCCATCGGAGACCGTCCCACTATCAAGCCACTCAACTAGAGCGTTTACCTAATTCCTGGAGCTCTTTTCTTTGCCTTGAAGATGTACCAAGGTCCATTTGCTTGACCTGTGTCTTGCTCAGTATTACAAAACAGAAGCGGGGCTCCACCCTGGATAGCCCTATTTCCCCATAGCAGGTATAAGCTTCTAAGCAAAGGAACAGTTTAATATGCTGTTCTTCCTCATATTCCATGAATTGACTACACTGAGAAGTAACAAAACTGACCATTGTTCCATCCAAAGATGTTAGCCATGCTCAAAGCGTGCTTGGTCTCTCTATGTGGCCTCCTTTCCCTATTCATCATCCACACTCTTCACACTGCGTTTCGCAAGGGCATCAGGCAAGTTCCCGGACCTTGGTTGGCCAAATTCACAATATTTTACCGAATATCACTTGTCTCGAAGGGAAATGGGGTCCAGGAATACCGCCGGCTTCATGAGAAATATGGCGACATTGTCAGGGTAGGACCATATCATGTCTCGGTCAATGACCCCCAAGCTATTCAACAGATATATGGCATTTCCAGCAAGTTTAGAAAGGTGCGTATGCGCAGAGCATTATGGCGACTTGCACACATTCGTGAAGAGGATCTAACATAAATACTAGTCGGACTTTTACAGCGTCTCCCCGCCGTTCTACCAAGGGAGGCCACTGGACAACATGTTTACTGTTCGCGACTTTAAGCAACACCGGGTACTGCGAAGTGCAACCTCGCAGGTATACTCCATGACCAATCTTCGTAACTATGAGCCGCACGTGGACGAATGCACCACGCTCTTTATCGATCTGATGAGAAGGAAGAATCAACGGCCCGTCGATGTTGTCAAGTATGTCCACTGGTTCGCGTTCGACGTCATAGCGAGCATCACATTTCAGAAGCGCTTGGGGTTTTTGGATAACGAAGGCGATGTCCTGGGAATGGTTTCGACCCGGACTTTCAGCGCGAAATACTTCGCCTTTATCGGTCAGGTGCCATGGCTCCATCGCTACCTGCTCGGGAACCGGCGAATGGTGATGTTGATGAAGAAGATTTTTCCAAACACTCCTGATCCACATGGCACTCTCTTTGCAGTGAGTGTGGATGTGCCCGCTTGCCAGGATATTTGTCACTAACGAAGACGGGCAGACTATTGAAGAGCAGATTGATCAGTACGACCGAGAAGAAAGGCAAGGGCGGACCGATTTCCTGCAGCAGTTGAGGCGCAAGGACGATCCTGACCGCGCGAACCACAAGCGAGACTTGATGAACCATCTCTCAAACAACGTGTACGTAGCTCATTTCGGTTTCACCCTTTTTCAATCAGCAGGACTGACCAAACCTCGGCTTCAGTTTGGCAGGGAGTGACACCACGGCGATTGCAATTCGGGCGATTCTCTACTATCTTGTCAAGCACCCCAAAACCTACGCCACTTTGCAGGCTGAGATTGACCAAGCCGACCGCAAGGGGAAGCTCTCCAAGCTGGTCACCTTTGAAGAGAGCCAAGACATGAAATATTTGTACGCGTATCTTGTTTTTTCCTGCACGTACTATATGATCTAAAGGCTGACACTAATCAGGCAAGCGGTCATTAAAGAGGCTATGCGTTTGCATCCATCAATCGCGTTTCCGCTGGAGCGTGTGGTTCCCCCAGAGGGCGACACGATCGGCGGTTACAAATTGCCCCATGGAACCATTGTCGGCGTGTTGCCGCCTCTGATCAATCGCAATAGAGATATTTTCGGAGAAGATGCTGACAGCTTCCGTCCTGAGAGATGGCTGAATACAGACCCTGAGCAGCTCAAGCTCATGGAGCGATTCTACACGACAGTTAGTAGTCGCGTCGGCAATTTTGTGCTACCTTATCGCTAACTTGTTTGCTCTTCTAGTTTGGCCACGGCGCACGAGGATGCATCGGCAAGAATATTGCCATGC